CCAATCAGCTTGTGCCAAGTCGTTTAACTCTCTGAATATCATCAGTTACATTAACAACCCGTCAGCCTGTGCCATCTAGAGTTTCATGAAAGAACTATATACGAGTACTTTTTCATAGATAAACTATATGGACAAAAATATTGGGCCACCTGAGCATTACACCAACATGACATTCCATTGTAAATACATAGGCATTAATAATTATGGAGTTGGTCCCCCTTTGGAGCTTTAACAGCTTCTACACATCTGGGACGTTTTTCTACATGATTTTGTGGGAATTTTTGAACATTTTATCCAGCAGAGCATTTGTTTGGTCAGACAACTGATGTTAGACAAGAAGGCCTGGCTCACAATCTCTCAAAGGTGTTCAATGGGGTTGAGAGGGTTTCACACCAAACTCATCCAACCACGTCTTTATGGACCTTGCTTTGTGCACTGGGGCACATGCTGGAACAAAAAAGGGCCTTCCCCAGACTGTTCCCACAAAGTTGGAAGCATACTATTGTCCAAAATGTCTTGGTATGCTGAAGCATTAAGATTTCTCCTCATTGGAAGTAAGAGGCCTAGCCTAACCCTGAAAAACAGCCCTATACCATTATCCCTTCTCCATCAAACTTTACAGCTGGCACAATGCAGTCAGGCAGGTAACGTTGTTCTGGCATCCACCAAACCCAGACTTGCCCATCTGTCTGCCAAACAGAGAAGCTTGCCGGCCTTTTTGGTAGCGCCGTGGAGTCCATTACTGAGCGCTTCGCGGAGGCTCAAAAGCGCGCCAAAGCCATGAGTCACGTGATGCCGAGGCACGCTTTCCAGCAGCAGACGGCGAGATTCAGATCCTCGTCGGCACCTGGCTCTTCCCAATGGAGGGTTAACCCCAGGCCAGCGACCGCAGCGGTGTCTGCTACCGCTCCTCGCCAGGAGCCGGATTTCCGGAGGAAGGCGTGGGGTCCCGGGAGGAAACGCCACGGCCAGCGGAGGAGCCCGCGACGTGACTCTCGCCCGCCGCCGGCTGCTAAGCCGTCATCCTGACGGTCTGAAGAGAGGAGGAGAGTGCGCGAGCAGTCCGGCTCCCAAGCGCCACAAGTTCATGCCTCAAAGCAGTGCAGAGCCGCCGCCCACACAGGTTATAGTCACGCAGCACTCGCTGGCGCTTCCAACGACTAAGTCGCTAAAGCCGCTATGTCAGTTCCTGAGCGCGTGGGAAGTTATTCCAGGAATCTCGCGCTGGCTACTCAGTGTGATAGAGCGTGGGTATACCCTTCAATTCAGACGCAGACCACCCCGTTTCAATGGCGTGGTGCAGTCTCTAACATTACCTCGAAATGCCCTGGTTCTGAGAGAAGAGTTATGTAGTCTCAGATCCTGGCGCAAATTCATCCCGGGACTGGTTTGCGTCTGTGGACTTAAAGGATGCATACTTTCACATTCAGATAGCACCGCATCACAGACGCTTTCTGAGGTTTGCTTTCGAGGGCACAGCGTACCAGTACTCTGTTCTCCCGTTCGGGCTGGCTTTGGCCCCACGCACTTTCTCAAAGTGCATGGATGCAGCACTTTCCCC